TGGTGCTGCCTGGGCTCCGGCGGAGGCAGCAGCAGCGGTGGAGCAAGCAAGAGCCTGCCAGGGAAGGGTGAAAACTGCAGGGGAGCAGGTAGGCAGGAGACGGCCGCCGTCCCCTCCAACAGCCCCGGAGGGCTGCCTGGCCAGCACACAGCGTGGGGGCTGCTGGGCGCTGGTTTGGGGTGCTTGCAGGCTTTTGCTGTAGCACCTTAAAGCTGCGCAATGAGCAGGTCCCTGTTAAAGCTGCAAGTGTGCGGTCAGATCAGGGAGCGCTGAAACTTCGTGAGACAAAGCACCGGCGCAAACAGAAAGGCAGTGGATGAAGAACAAGAACAGCCTGCAGGAAGCCGTCACCCCTGCAACCATCAAATGTACCAGCTGCTAGCAAGCAAAACGATCCATGCGGGAAAGGCTCACATCATAAATCCTACAGGAAAGGATTCTGGCGGGGCGGAGAGGGAGAAAGAAAAACAGAGCCCAGAAACCTCCCCACAGGAAAGACCTCAGATGAAAAGGTACCCTTCCCACCAGAAAAGGTGGATGGGAAGGTGCAGTGCTGCGTGATGCTGTGATACCGGAGTGGATTACAGCGCTGACCAGCCAGAGACTGCGTGGGATTGTCATCCCATATAACCAATTTTGTTCCTTTTAAACAAATAAAAAAAGAGACTGACATGAATGAGGCTTGGGATGGGCAAGTTGTGCACTTCCAGGAAGAGCCGTCAGCAGAGCTAAGCCTGCCCAAGAAACACACGGCTGAGCAGATCTCCTAGAAGCATCTTGCTAATGTCGTTATGTTTTAAATCCTGTTTTCTGCAAGTACCATGCCTTTTCTCCCAAAAAAGCACAAAGTGTTTTAAAAGTGAATCACAGAATCATATCCCTGTGGTCCATTTGTCAGCAGCAGAGGTGTGGCAGAGGCTACAACAAGAGGCAGTCAGCCCAGTCCCCTGTTGAGAAGAGTGTCAGGAAACACAGCGCGTTCTAAGATGATAAGCTGTGCCGTACTGGTCAAACCAAAGCCCTGTCTTGTCCCTGACAGAGGGCAATAGGCAGTGCTTAAGGAAGGAGATCAGCACGAGCATGCAATGATAATTTTCTCCTGGCCTTCTAGGATAAGCAGCTCAGAGACAGCCTCAGGCAGCCGTGGCGCCTTTGCATTTAAGGGCCTTTGACGGATTTCTCTTCCACGAATGTGTCTAGTTGCTGTTTGAACAAATCTCATCTCGTAGCACCTACAGTATTCACGACAAGAGCTCCAGTGTGATGGGCACAGTGTGTAAAGACACATCTCCATTTATCTTTTAAACCTGTCCCTTCCTGGCTCTTGTATTAGAAAAAAACTGTGATCATGCCCCACTCCTTTCCCCTGTGCTACCGGTGGCTTTGCAGGCACAGCCTTCACCAGCTGGAAA